TTTTGAATCTTGTATGGTTGAACCTAAGATAATCTGTTGATGATGAAAGCATGTGTTGCTTGCGCGGACATATTTTGAATCTTGTATGGTTGAACCTAAGATACCCTGTTGATGATTGAAAGCATGTGTTGCTTGCGCGGACCTATTTTGAATCTTGTATGGTTGAACCTAAGATATTCTGTTTAGGAGAGGCGGGCGTGCAGTCTCCGAGATTGATGGGAGCTAGGAAGCGCTCGCAGGTGACATCGTAGCGGAGCGAAGTTTTTTTGTTTGAAATTTCTTGTATCGTGAGGATAGACTTCATGTTTGAACGTTTTTTCACGGGCGAATTTTTGCTAAGAAATGGACCTAATCTGTATCTTACGTTTGGCAACCTAAGATACGCCATTTTTTTATCTTAGATCTCTAGAGATGAAGAATTTGTATATGAGGAGGTAGTGGACATCCCTCCGGGCGTTTTTCTCGGATTGAATATCTCAGGTCACCCCGAAGGAACCACGGATGTCAAAGATACGTCTGCTGGGGACGGTCGTGATGATGAGGGTTGTCGCGGTTGGTTTGTTGTTGACATTTACGGTGGTATTGGAAGGTCACCGTTTTTGTTAGCGGAGCGAAGCGATTATGATATATTGCAAGATGTGTTTGTAAGCATATGCTTTTTTCAAGTTTGGCGGATAATTCATTCAGACGTATTAGACTTTGTTGTTGAGTTGTTGTTGTTGTTGTTGTTTTGGGAAGATCGTATCCTATACGATTTTCGTGGTATATAGTGTCGTGGAAAAGTAGTCTATAATGAGAGTAGCCTATCCATTGTAGCAGAATGGAATGCTCCGCTGATCGCTTTTTATTATCAAAAAATTGATAATAGTTAAGAATCTTTCATAGTGCGTTCTGTCTGTGATCAACCAGTAGAATGTCCCCGCCCAGGAAGGTCGCGGCTAAGAGTAAGCCCTCATCGCCGTCATCGAAAGCGCAGCGGAAGGAGGTGGAAGTAGAGGAGGAAGGGGAAACGGTGGAGGTATTATTGGGGTATGGACGTTTTTACTTGGGGAAAAACGTCCATGGGGGTGTTGTGTACTCGAACGATAGGGAAGGTAGGGGTTGGATTGGCGAATTTTCAGTGTTGAAGATTTGCATGAGGCGTGGAAGTATTTCATTTTGAAGTAGGAAAAAGATCGTGGTAAAATTCGATATCGATTTTCGAGTTGACTACACTAGCAGTTGTTTATACTACTGGTATTTCCCTTTTTTCTGTTTTTTTTTCTGAATTTGAGGTTGAGAATGTGTAGTAGTTGTTTATGGTATATCGTTCGATTTACTATTCGTCAGCGCTTGAGTATTGTATTTTTATATAGCAGAAGTGCAGTTCTGTAATACACCATGGACAATGCCAGTGTAAAGGGTTTGTTATGCAAGTGTTGGTGATTTCGGAATGTTCGGTGTCGTAAACCACTAAGCTGAGATTTTGCATCCGAATTTTATGGGAAAGTAATAGCAGCTAAAAGTCGAAGTATTTTCGTTTCATTTCGTAAAACGTTTATTAAGGAAGACGACAGATCAGATATTTTTGAATATTTCGGCAAAGGTACCGAAATCAGCCACATTTGCATGAAAAACTCTTCATTCTGGTATTATGCACAGTGTAATATAGAACTGTACGCCTCTCTGTAAATCACTGTAGTAGTTGCTATTTTTGAGTTGAATTGCAGGTGTGGGAATATTTATGTAACGTTTATGAATATCGAATGTAGTAATTTTTCTGGGGGAATGTTGACGATGAGTGTGTTGTAGATACTATCATCAACCGAGCCAAGCAAAGATGTCGAAATGACTCCAGTGGAGTTGGTGGGGGAAGGGGATGAGCCCAAGGTGGAGTTGGTAGCAGAGGAAGAAGAGGAGCCGCAAGAAGAGGTACTATTGGGAATCTTTGCTGTGCGGAAAATATGCACATGGTCAACTACGTGTGTTGGTGAAATTTCTGTTTGTGTTGGTAGCGGTGTTGGAACATATGTTCGCTTTCCTCAACTGAGCTCGGAATTTTTCTCACTTATTATAGGGGTTTATATGTGGGGTAAAAATGTACGGAAACCAATGAGAATTTTTCAAAATTTCCTCGAAAATTTCATATCGTCGACCACGCATGTAGTTGACCATGTGCATACTTTCCCCCCACACTGGTTGGTACTCTTCTACCGGAATTTGAATGCGAGCTCGTATATTTTTTTGAGAAAACTTCTGAGCTCAGCTGAGGAGAGGGAAAATGCTTTTACTCTGTACGGGAGAATATGTTTTTTTCAGGTGCCGGCTGAAATAAAAAATTTTGAGGAAGATTCTCGTCCAAGAATTGGAGAAATTGGAAAATTTGGAAATTTTGATGCGACAGTTGATACTTATTTTGGTCGAGGTGGATTGATCGGATCTAATTCGACTGAGGGCTTCCAATATTTGCTGAGCGGAGCGCGCAGTAGTATTGGAGTAAAAGGAGGACGTGGAGGAGGTGGAGGAGTATTCGCATTTGAGGTAGATAGTAATTATGAAATCCTATGTTATTATAGCATTTAGCTTTGATAATGTAACATCTATTTGTGTTTTGTATTACTGGAGTTTCACCCTGGTGATATGAAAAACAGTAGTGAAAAATATATTTTACGACTACTGCATATCACCACGAATATCGGGTTTTTCTCAGAGTATTACGACGCCACCTCACGTAAAACGGGTCGTGAAGCTCCAATGTATCATAACAATAGATTATAGATTCGCTTTTCTGAAACTATTGATTGATTATTTCTCTCCTTTTATTCTATAATTAACTTTTTCAAATTTTGAATGACTACCACTATGCGATGGCGGTTTGGAAATTCTGTATTGGTCGGAAAATGGTGGAAAATATGCGTGGGTGGAATCGTACCTGCGATCGTTAGGAACAATCCGGGTCTGTTTTGACGTCTTGGTGTTGGGAATTACCACCGCGTTGTAAACTGATGAGGAGTTGTGGGCCTATTCTGTATCTTTCGTGGTTGAACCTTGGATATTTTTCGTTTAGAAGTTGAGATATTTCGTGGTCTATTTGAGTATCGGGGAAACTTATTGTGATTTTTGTGGTCATCAGATGAAAATTGTGGAAATATTGACGCCGATGGACGCAGCGTGCAACAAGCAGGCGTATCTTCCACAGAACAAGTAAGGAGGGAGGGAAAATGGAAATGTATGTATAGATGTCACCAAGGGGGTGGCGATGATCTGTTCCCTACTACAGATCAAACGTGTGTGTGAATGTTGGAGGGCGTTTAAAATGATGGCAATTAGGAAAGTGTAGGGTGATGCGGGATGATGCTCGTATTGCTCGATATCAATATTGTCGAGCACGCATCAACACGAAGAGGAGGAGGGGAAGGGCTTGATAAGAATGTACACACTTAGTGCGTAATTAGAGGGCAGTGGAAGAGATAATAAAGGCGGTGTATTAGATTTGCAAGGAAGAACACAACTCAGAAGTGGTGTATGAAAAGTATAGAGTAAAAATGGTGATGATTGTAATATCATCTTGGAGGGTCGTGCTGAGAGTATATGCAGAGGATGCAGTAATGGAGGAGGAGGAGGAGGAGGTCCAGGTGTAGCATATAATCGATCGAGTGATCGATTATAGCATGAGGTTTCATACGGCGTGTTCAATAGATATCTCCTTAGTTTCAACAGCGCTCCTCCCAGGATTAGATGTTACATGTAAAACCTGATTCTGTGAGCGCTGGTGAAACTGAGGATGTACTGAGAAAATGGCGCAGATAAATGCAATGGG